TGCCATAGGATCAGAGCTGCTCAGAGATTTTCCGACAGAAAAGGCAGATTCATCTAATTCAAAATGTTTCCCAGGAATGGGACAATTTCAGGCCATCTTCTGACTGCATGGGCCTGGTTTTCTGCCAGCTCGCTTGCCCAGCTCCTTGGACTGCCTCAGAGTCAGGACCCCGGAGTTTCCAGGATCCATGGCTCTGGGGCAGCCAGCCATGCAGATTACCCCAGGATCGGAGACCCCAGAGTTTCTAGGGTCTCCGAGGTGGGGCCAGGAGCTGCCGATGAGCCAGGAGCCTTGGAGTTTGGAATCCCAGGTAGAATTTCATTTAGACCTTTTTGAAATGAAACAATTGGATTGTTTCAAAACAGGTTTTTGCCCGAATTTTCCATTCAGGGGAAATTCCAACATTTCAACTTTTTCTTCTGACATGGAACGTTTTTTTCCTCCAAAATTTCTCGGGAAGGGAAATTCCCACTGTCCACGTGTTCTCATCTGAGCGTGTGACAATCTTCAGTGCATTTCTCCTCACAACCACCCCTCTGAGGTAGAGCAGTGCTATGATCACCATTGTACAGGTGGGGAACTGAGGCACACAGAGACTTGGGCCTAGTCTGCACTTACAAATTAGACCGACCTAGCTATGTCACTCTCAGCCTGAGCACTGTAGTCAGGGCTACCCATGTAGCTACGGCTAGGTCGACAGAATAATTCTTTCATTGACCTAGTTACTGCCTCTCGGAGAGGTGGATTACCTACCTCAATGGAAAAAAAATTTCCATCAATATTGGCCATGTCTGCACAGCCAAAGCTTAACCCCTGTAGTGTAGCCATGTCATAAGTGACTTTCTCAAGGTCACATAGGCAGTCTGCGGCAGAGCAGAAACTTGAACACAGTCCTTCTGAGTGCTAGACTAGTGCTCTAACCCCCCGACCACCCTTCCTGTCTAAGTGTAAGTTAAATGTAACCTACTCTCTTCCCATCCTACTCCACTCCCACTACCAGCAGTACAGTCGATTTTACACTGCCATTCCACTGAAATCAGTGGGACTTTAGGATATCCACAGTGCATTCAACCGTAATCGGCAGGTTAGGAGCAGCTTCAGTTTTTGCATGAACACAGAGAGGAAAATGCCATTTGTGTCTCTGGTCAGATGTAACCGATGGAATAATGACAGTATGTTGCAAAACTCTGCATACCTCAACCCGGGGCTGTATCAGGACACCACTTCATGCGCATTTCCCACTGCATACTTGTTGACAGACCAAGAGCCTGTCCCAGGCATGATTCGGCAGATCATTTTGAACACCCGATATGTCTGAAACAATTGCAAACAGCTCCCGGATGTGTCATGAGCAGGACAAGAGGTTACATCATCCAGCCAGTTAAATGCTACACACACTTTTCTGGGCTCTGATAACTAATGTGCAGCATGCATAATAGGGATTATCTTCAGAACAGCATGAATATTAATTGTATTATGGTATCAGCGAGTTACCCCAGCCAAGATCAGGGCCCCATTGTGTATAATAAGAGATAGTCCTTGGCCTGAAAGTCATACAGTCTAGATAATAAGAAAAGGAAGAATTATTATCCCCATTTTACAGGTGCAGAACTGAAGGTTGTGAAGGCTAGGACTATAACAGTGTTTAAAAGAGAACTGGATAAATTCATGGTGGTTAAGTCCATTAATGGCTATTAGCCAGGATGGGTAAGGAATGGTGTCCCTAGCCTCTGTCTGTCAGAGGATGGAGATGAATGGCAGGAGAGAGATCACTTGATCATTGCCTGTTAGGTTCACTCCCTCTGGGGCACCTGGCATTGGCCACTGTCGGTAGACAGGATACTGGGCTAGATGGACCTTTGGTCTGACCTGGTACGGCCTTTCTTATGTTCTTATGCCCAATGAAATTAAATGAATTGACCAAGGTCATCCATGGTATCTGTGGCAGAGCTCCAGTGCAGAGAGCGACTGCAGAGTCACAGTCCAGTGTCTTAACCACTGTTATAAGCAAATGTTATGATATCCCCATCATAGGTCACGAGTAGCGTCTGAACCAGAAACCTTCAGCACGACAACACAAAGCTGTATCACTTGAGCAGAAGGATTAGCTCCAATAGCAGGCTGTTAGCCTCTCCGCAGACTAACCACCATAAACACTTTACAAGCAGATCACAAAAGTGTTTCCATCTCTGACATACTTTGGAGGAATAAGAGGAAAGTCTAACGCAGTCAGCCTAGACTCAGCTCCCTCCCAGCCCCTGAAGCACTCCTTACCTCTGAGAAATACTAATTTGATCAGCAATATTAGGCAGACCCTGGACCTCAGCCATCACTTACATAACCAGCCATGGAGCCAGCTCTGTTCTCAGCCAGCCAGAAGTATAAAGATCTGGCACAGGAAATGAGCTATGGGTCAGTAGACACCCAAAGGTAGAGTCAAGCCCTGTTTAAAGATGGATGCATTCCCTCTCCCTTCCTCACTTTATTGGAGTACTTAATAAAATCACCTGTTCAGTGCCTGATCTGGAGAATAAATCCAATTGATGCCGACTAACAAATTTGCTCCTTAAAGGGGACCGGCATTGTGCTGTAATATGAAAAGCTCATCTAATCACTCCATCAGTAATTACAAAGAAGAGTAAATCACTAATTAAAATGGGAAAGTGTCTTACGCAGTATATAATAAGGAAGGGTAATTAACAATCAAAAGGGAAGCCTCCGCCTTGGCACTGAGATGGTGTGTGTTAAGATGCAAGAAATAATAATATTCAGGTCGTATACAACACTTTTAATCCATAGATCTCAGGCACTTTTGCCAAGGAAGGCAAATATTATTATCCCCATTTTACAGCAGGGGAAACTAAGGCACAGAGAATTGAAATGGCTTGCCAAGGTCACACAGCACATCAGTAGCAGAGCTGAGACTGACTAGCTCCTAGGTCACTGTTTGTCCATTGGACCAGATTGCCTCTGCGTTTGAATGCCTGGGGAGGACGCTTTCAGCACTGTACAGTGATTGCTATTTTTTTTTATGTTTGTGGTTAATTTAGCAGCGACTTAACTGTTCAATTTAACCAGTAAACAACAATAAACCATCCCTTGCAATGGCTTTGAAAGTGTCCTTCCTTTCTAATGCTGAGATGCATGGCCGACGGGCTGAACTACATCATCAGGCTGTCTTGTTCTGATGGAGAAGGCAGCAAAATATCAGATGGAGTCAGTAGCGCCCCCCACAGCTCTGGAGTGAGTGAAGCAGCGAGAGCCATTTCTTAATGCAAGAGGTGCTGGTTTTGCACTGCCCTGCTCCTTGTGTTCTGTACACCTGTGAAGAGAGAAAGTAAAACGCTGCCCAATCAAAATTCTCCTCTTACTCGCCTGAACGGTAGCATTGGACGAGCTCATGAACAGCACAAGTGGAGAACCAGCGCATTGCGGGAAGCAATGACTGGACCTGGCTGGGAACTGGAATTTCCATCCCGGGGGAAATTCTGACATTTTGGGGGCAAAAATCATTCTGAGTCAGAACGAAAAGGTAAAATTTTCCATGAAGTGAAAATTTAAAAAAAAAACCTGATTTGGGACCATTGAAGCATTTCATTTTGTTTAGATTTCTATATTATACGAAAACATTCAATAATGTTACCTAGGTAACATTAACTATAGTTCGTATCATAGACTATTAAATTAACAATTTGCCATAGCATAGAAGTCTAAACAAAAATGAATCAAAATGATAAAGCCAAAGTGAAACATTTAGACAGTGTCGAAACTAAATATTTTGACTTTGGCCTATCAGAAATTCATCGAAATTGACATGTTCCCATGATACATTTTAATTTCAATTAGACTGAATTTTTCAATGGAAAACTGTCCATCGCAAAATTATTGATCAGGTCGAATGATGACTATGTAGAGTCTTAGCATTAGAGACAGAGCGAGAAATGTCCTATGATCTCCCTTTGGGGGGAGGGATAGCTCAGTGGTTTGAGCATTGGCTTGTTAAACTCAGGGTTTTGAGTTCAATCCTTGAGGGGGCCACTTAGGGGACTGGAGTAAAAATCTGTCAGGGGATTGGTCCTGCTTTGAGCAGGGGGTTGCACTAGATGACCTCCTGAGGCCCCTTCCAACCCTGATATTCTATGTAACTTAATCACTGCAGGTTTCCTTTAAAATGAGTGGTGGAGCAGAGACTGGAGTACTTGACTCCTCACCCTGTTGTTTTGCCTAGGACAGTGCTTCTCAAACTGTGGGCCGGGACCCCAAAGTGGGTCGCGACCCCATTTTAATGGGGTCCCCAGGGCTGGTGTTAGACTGGCCAAAGCCCAAACCCCACCGCCTAGGGCCAAACCTGAAGCGTGAACCCCACTGCCTGGGCTCAGGCTTCGGCTTCAGCCCAGGGTGGCGGGGCTCAGGTTACAGGCCCCATGCCTGGGGCTGAGGCCCTTTGGCTTCAGCTTTGGCCCCGCCGCCCGGAGCGGCATGGCTCCAGTGGGCTCATGCTTCAGTTCCCCCTCCTGGGGTCATGTAGTAATTTTTGTTGGCAGAAGAGTGTCGCAGTGCAATGAAGTTTGAGAACCCCTGTCCTAGGCCATACATGTATTAACTTCAGTGACTTAAGACCAATGAAAATCACCCCATCTCACGCATATAGCAAGGTGTGGCCGACCCAGAGCCCACAGATACTGATTGAAGACCAGCAAATTGGGCTGTCTGGTAGGTTGCCAGTGGCTTTTTCTGGCTTTGGACAAAAGAAAGTCTAGCACAGAACCACACTGGCAACAGAGAGAAGCCACCCCCTTAGACCAAGAAGGAGCAAGGCCTGGGCTGCATTGTAGAGCTCCACGGGTAGCACTGGCCCCATGGACAGCAGTATCGCTGCCTCTGGTCGAGCCAGCACCGTGGAAAAGCCCGAGTGACCGGTCGGTGACCGCAGCATCTCCTCTCTGGAGCTGCCCTGCTGGTGAATGCGTGATATTTTTTCCCTGTTCTCTTTGTTCCAGCTGATGCAGCAGCAGGCGGCGATCATGGCATCCGTGGCACAAGGGGGCTACCTGAATCCCATGGCAGCCTTCGCCGCAGCCCAGATGCAGCAGATGGCAGCGCTGAACATGAACGGCCTGGCTGCTGCTCCCATGACGCCAACCTCAGGTAAGGAGCCCGCAGGACAGCAAGAGGAGTCGGAAGCAGCAGGCTAGGGAGTTTCCCAGACAGAGGTCGCTGTGCTAGAGAGCAGAGAAAGGGGGGAATGTCACAGGGTAGCAGGAAAACACAGACAGGCATTCTTCATGGAAAGGCCTGATTGTCCTGTCATCTGCAGTGAGGGGGAGCCCGGGTGAGATTGGGGGGCAGAGCTCCCAGATCTGGAGTCGCAGTCAATTCTGAACTTGCCCAAAGTTTTGCGCACCCTCTCGTGTGGCGTTCCAGTCTGAGACAGTCTAGAGAGAGACCGGGGCCGTGGTGTTCGGTTCTGGAGCTGAACCAATCCAGGGGGTTTCGGTTTGAGGCCCGTCTCTGCCGGCAAAGTCCACGCCATCCTTTGTCGTGCCGTAGGCAAGGAGCCATCCTCTTGCTCCCCCGAAGCCGCGGCTTCTCTTTTAGGATGTCAGGGAAGAGCTACAGCAGGAACCCTGCGAGCTGAGACTGCTGGAAACACAGCAGCATGGGTTTGGCCTGGCCTAGCGAAAACCATAAGCAGTGCCAGCACGTGGGGTAGACTGGGACAAACCAGAGAAAACACCCCACATCCCCTGCTCCCCTATGCTCCAGGAGAACGGATGGGTGGAAAAATATGCCAGAGGGTGGCACTGATTTGCAGGGGAGGCCAGACAACAAAGGGGACAGCACCACAAGGAAACATCATCATCCCCCCCAGCAGGATAGCTATGAGCAGAGCCTGTAGGAGCAGACACCTCGGCCCCCAGCACCTCACCCACACCCCTCTGTGGGGGGTTTTGATACCCTGGACTTAATGGTGAGGGCCACCGTTTTTGAAAGAAAAGCCTTGGATGCAGCAGGCCAGATCCCGAGCAGCGCTGAGCGCTTTTCATTTCCCGTTGTCGTTCGCAGGCGCTGCGGGTGGTCAGTGCCTCTCAGAGGCAGGTCGCTTGTTTAGGTGGGCGTAGATGCCTGGAGCTGAGCTTGACAATATCGGCCTCAATATGGCCTTTCTGTGCCTCAGTTCCCCGGTTGTGTGAATGCGGATAAGACTCAGTGTGGCTTGCCGGGGGCGTTGCGAGTCTGGATGTGTGGCTCTAAAGGGCATCGGGGGAGAGATGCTAATGTAGCACAGTGTGATTGGGCAAAGGAAGAAAGGGAGGAGATTGACGAACAAAGAACCGGCCGCTACTGTCCATTTCAGAGCAGGGGCCAGACTGGAGCAGGAGGGAGGGGCCTGGCCAAGGGCAGAGAGGCCAGGTGACATCATCACGAAATAATAACTGCTGCGGTGACGTCAGACCGGGACACGTGCAGGTTACAGCCGCAAGGCAGGGTTCTCAGGGAGGAACTGGGAACAAACGATGCTCAGCAGGGAGCTCACGGCGGGCACAGTTCCTGCCGTAAGCATCTCTGTTATTTGGTGGATCACTAGGCTGTGGGAGTGCAGGGCTCTCCTGGCCTTCAGCTCACACACGTTTTAACAAAGAGCTTTCCTTCGGCCAGCACCATTACACTGAAGCACTGCTGGTTGCCCAGCAAAGAGAACGAAAGCTCTCTGGCTCAGGGGAACCAGCCAAGTGCTGTGAGTCGTGTAAGGAGGGGGAGTGATGGTGAGCAGGAAGGGGAGATGATGGGCATGAGCCACTTTGTGTGGAGTGCAGCCACCTTATTTAGAGGGTGTTGGGGAATACGTGTAAAATTTGGATCTAGATTTCACACACTCGGTAGTGTGAGATTGCGGAGGTTGGTGAGGCTCATCTCTGGTCACACTTTTCCCGTTTAAAGTGCTGAGCAAATATTAGTCAATCTGGTCTCACGACTGCCGTGGAAGGGAGGGGAAACTGAGGCAGGGGGATTAAGGAGGTATATGGAGGCTTTCAGCTGCTGCCTATGTTGAGTGGGGCGTGTGCAGGGGTGCAGCTGCAGAGGGCTGCTACCTAGCAGGAAGTCTGGCTAAGGCGGTCACAGTTCTTCTGAGAAGCACATGGCGGAGCAGCCTGGAGGCTGTTCTAAGTTACACTTGCTGCAAGTACAACAGCAGAGGATTGCCAGGGCACAGTGGAATCCCAGCCATGACCCTCTTTTCTTGGCCACATCGCATATGATACTTATACCCTTCCTTATATCCTTATATATACTTACATCCTTCCTTAGAGGTTTTTAAGGCCCGGCTTGACAAAGCCCTGGCTGGGATGATTTAGTTGGGGTTGGTCCTGCTTTGAGCAGGAGGTTGGACTAGATGACCTCCTGAGGTCTCTTCCAACCCTGATATTCTATGATTCCACTCACTCTGTATCACCAGAGAATTTAGACGTCAGATAGATGTGAGATATAGGTGTATGGATGGTCCATGGGAAGCCAGTGGGGAGTTATTCACACTCCCTTTCCATGGCCCAATGACTATTCATTGTCATCCATAATGGCAAGTCATAGTCATTCATTCAATAGCCATGAGTCCACGGGAAAAGGGTGAGAATGACTCTATAGCCTAGTGGTTAGGACACTCCCTTGAGAGGCAGTGGCTTGAGGTCAAGTCCCTGCTCCAATGACTTATTATACAAAGTGGAACAACTTTAACCAGAGACACTGGGATATGTAGCTATGGGTTTTCACATCGCCCAGAGTGTAGGGCATGCTCCTGCAATGTGGGAGACCCACATTAGAATCCCTTCTCTACATCAGGTAGAGGGGAGAACTGAACTCAGATCTCCCAAATCCCAGATGCGTGTCTACCCAGTGGGTAACGCTCCTAAGGGCGATGGCGTCACCACCACCCCTGGTTGGTTTGTGAAACTAGCCATCCTTTGTTTTTGTCACATTGCCTGAAATCAAAATGACATTTATAAAGTCGAGTCGAAATAAAACCTCGCGTTTCAACCTGACCCAGACTTTCTTTTTTTTTTTTACTTTTCCATTTGATGAAAATTTTCAAAAAGTGTCATGTTTGTTTCAACCCCCAAAGTGGATTTAAAAAAAAAAAGGTTGGAATTGCCAGTGAACCAACAAATCTATTATTCACCCAACTCCATTGGACAGGACCCACCATGTTCCCAGCAATACCATGTGTGCACTTGTTAAGCCCATTCTGGCATCTGTTTTAATTTGACTTCACAATCATCCTCTTCATTTTTTAAAATGGCCCATGAACCTGGCTCCAACCTATCTTCCAGAGTTTGGGCTGAATTAGGAGGTGTGTGAAATGCATTTGAGGGAGGGGGGCTGCAAAAAGGTGTCAGGTAGGGCTTGTCTACACGGTGGTTTTAAAATGGGTCAGATTGAGTTAATCTGGTTTGAACGTGCTTGCGTGCACACAACACAACCCACCACTGTGCACTAACTCCACATTTATCAGGAACTCAGGACTCCTCTTTTAGACTCACTTCTGAATCTGGTGTTTTGCCTCTGCTCACCACTCTGCCACCTCCACTGGCTTTTCCTTTGTCCTCTCCTCACACTGAGAGTCTTGTGGGCGTGACAGCCTTTACCTTTGCAGCTCCTGCCCCTGTGTATCTTCCTTCGCCATCTCATGTCTTGTTGAGTCTCCATCTCATGTCAGGGCTTGTCTCTTATTCGCACTAGCCATATACCTCTTTGTTTGACTCTTCCTCTCTTATTCGCCGTATGAGGGAATGCGTTCATTTTCTTTTTATCACTTGCACGACCACTTCTCAGCATTCCACACCAGGAGTCCGTCCTCAGCTGGTGCAAATCAACATAACTCCATTGACTCTGCCAATTGACACCAGCTGATGATCAGACCCCATATATTGTCCACTTCCTGTAACAGTAACACACGACAGCACTTGAGGACCATTTGCTCCATATAAAAGAAATCTGCGCACTGCTGATGTGTCGGTTCTTGCGGTGCTGGTTCTGGAGAGCTCCAAGAACCTCTGTCCTGCTAGGATGCCAAAATAAAACCTCCAGGGCAACTCGCATAACTCAAGGAGCGGCTCTCCTGGTTTGTGTTGCTGATCTCTCCTAGTTCATATCGCCCCCACAACTTTGCCAGCATTGTCTCACAGCGGGGGGCAGATGTACTTCACCGAGGTCTCCAGCAGGCGGGTGGACAGGCTGAGCACAGACCAGAACCTGAAGTCAGAAGGTGTTTGCAGGGCCTGGCAGTGTCTGGAAGGGATCCTGTGAGTCAGTAAGTCCAGCCAACCCCATCACATAATGCCATTCATAAAGTTACCAAGCTCCAGCTTAAAACCAGTTAGGTCGTTTGCCTCCACTGCTCCTATTGGGAGACAGTTCCAGAACCTCTCCCCTCTGATGGTTAGAAACCTTCTTCTAATGTCCAGCCTTTATTTACCCAGGGCTAGTTTAGCTCCATTTGTTCTTGGGCCAACATTGTCCATTAGTTTCAACAGCTCTTCCTCCACCCTGGTATTTACCCGAGATGTATTTATAGAGGGCAATCAGACCCCCCCCCCCCAGCCTTCTTTTTGCTAAACTAAACAAGCCCTGGTCTTTGTCTTCTCTTGTCAGATAGGCCCTCCATCGCCCTGGTTTTCCTATTAGTCCTTCTCTACACCTGTTCCAGTCTGAATTCATCTTCCCAGACATCTCCGATGGAGATCAATATCTGTTGTAGTCTCCATTTGCCTCCTTGCAGGCTGTCGTTGTCCAGAATAGATCTGGTTGGCAAATAGTAACTACATTCCCTGGAAAGTTTGGAGAGAAGTGACACCAGTTTTTTTAGGTCTGTAATTTTCCGAGTTTTTCATTGAAATTACAATGTACATTTTTATTCAACTTGATTTGAATCAAAACAAAAAATGTTTTCTTTTTTCTTTTTCTTTTTTTTTGGTTTCCACTCCCTTCATTCCCGTTTTTTCCTCCGGAAAGAAGGCGGGGGAAAGGAAACTGAAACCCGAACATCTTTCATTTAGATTTGAATAAAATTGAATCAAAACTATTTTTTTTTCATTCTGATGAAAAAATGGATAATTCTGAACTCTACCCTGGTGGAGAGAAAAGATTGTCTA